CCCAACATCAGGCAGGACACCTCCCTTCCTCACTTCAAATCTCTGCTAAAAACTCATGTGTTCTCTCAGACATTTCACACAGTGTAAATTGATCTAGTGGTTTTTTTGTTCTGTGATCCTGTTTTAAATGTTTTTATTAATTCTTCAGTTATTATTATTAGTGTATTGTATTTTTTTCTCTTTAATTTTACTCCCATTGATGATGATTGTTGTTGTTGTTGTTGTTGTTTGTTGTTTAGCACTTTGGTAACAGGGGTTCTGTTTTAAATGTGCTCTTTAAATAAAGTTGACTTGACTTGACTAAATGACTCTCAGCTACTACCACCCCAAACATTAGCTCAGTATCTGTAAGATTAGGTTTACTGTCTGTGACGGCCATTTTGAACAGTGTGGACTCTGTTGTAAAATAAAATCTGTTTCTGCTTGTACAATTTCTAAAGCTTAAAGTGTGACTAGTATACTTCCTGTTTCTTATTTGTGACAGCACCCACCCAACCGGACTTTGCACAATACACGTTGAGCAAGTGAATATTCCAGAAGCTAGAGCGAGTCACCGCCCTATACACGTTGAGCAAGTGAACATTCTAGAAGCCTTGACCGTGCACCGCCCTAAGTTAGACTATAGCTGAACAGCACTTCCTCTTTCAGCAGACAACGCAGAGCAAAGGCTGACTCCAGATCACTCTTACAGGTTGTATCGTTTGTCTCCATTGAATGCGCATTCAATGTTTTATTTTGTACTTTAACTAACATTTAATCAAATACAAAAGTAATCTGTGACTGTTAATCATTTAATTTATTAAATTTGATTATTGAATTTAAAGAGAGTGCGTCTGTCATGTTTCAGTGTCTGTACTTCCTTGATCCACAGTAAAACCAAACAACGAACTTTGGGGCGGATAGAGTGAGTCGATTTACGCCAACAACTCCTAAAGCTAAACAGGTTTGGATGTACATGGAACGATTCCTTTGAGGATTTCATGAAACCTGTCCGGTTCTTCCACAGCCGACCCAAGGCTTGTGCAGACCGAGCCATGGTGTAGACCTCCAGGCCTGCAGGGGGCCCCCAAGAGTCTTTTAATAATCACAGCAGACAAGTTGACACAAGGTTTAATCTACATGGTTGTACTGAAAATGATGAATGAATGTTAATTTTTTCATGTCTGCTTCTTGTGTCTGAACTGGATCATGCTTTATGCACACTGTAACCTTCTGATGTTGGATCTCAAAGGGTAGTTGACACGTTTACAACGTTCCTTAAGGAAAAAAGAAAAAACTCAGGAGCCATTGTTTTGTCAGATTTACTGACTGAAGTTCTGTGTTCTGTTTCAGCTCCTTCGTCCGGTTTACCCAGACAGAAACGGATCAGTCGGTGAGTCCGCTCAGACTCTTGGTCATCCGGGTTGTGAGAGTCCATTCACTGAGTAGAAACTGATTGAGGTCCTCATGGTTCTCCAGGTCGTCTGTACCAGACTCACCCCCGCAGAGGTCAGAACCTCCTTCACAATCCTCAACCCAGGAAATCACAGCGACCGTCGGCCAGTCGTACCTCCACCCTGCCTCCCACCCATCCCAGAACCGCAGCATCCGCCCTGCACGGTAACCATGGCAACTACCAGAACTGCACCATCGTTCAGTCCCACCTGCCCAGCTCCGGATATGAAAACTACGTGACTCTGGCGCCTAAGACTCTCGTCTTCCCCATCTTTGTCCAGGTCAGAATAATTTAACCACACCCCTCTTCCCCAGAACCGGTCCAGAACGGTTCTGTCCTCCATTCACCAGGTTCAATCGATCTCTTACTCTTACTCACGTTGTTACATTATTACCCCCACATCTCTCAAACAGAGACTTTGCTGTCATTTGTTATAAGCAGTCAGTTGAATTGTGGTGGATCTCAGGGACCCATCCTTGGCTCCTTCTGTTGTCTGACTCCAGGTTTTAGCTTGACCAGTTTCTTCAGAGCCATGGTGTTCAGTAACCATTTCTATGCAGATGACACTCACCTTGAAATACCTTCAAAATACTACAGATCCCACCATGCTTGCTACGTGTTTCATAATCCAAAATATCCATAAAGTCAGAGAGGGTCCAGCTGTGGTCTACATCCACTCATCACAGTCATGAATGTCAAATTAAGTTTGGTTTTTAAATGGTTTATTTACAATATTCTTTTTCCACAACAAACAACTTCAATTAATGTTGTCACACTCGGACCTCAGGCATTTTGTCTCCATCTGCAAGCTTCTACAAGACATTTGTCTCGTCCATGTGGACTGCTGCAGGTTTCAGTCCAACTTGAAGGTTTAGGACCTTCTTTCTTTGTCCTCTCTGTGTCTTCAGTGGAGGACAGTGATGATTGTGATGATGATGTTGGTGTTGATGACGATGATATTGGTGATGGTGATTGTGATGGTGGTGATGGTGGTGATGACTATGGTGGTGGTGGTGGTGGAACCCCCAACTCTTGTATTGGCCACCACTTGTAAAGAGCTTTGAGTGTCTTGATCAGATAGAAAGGAGCTGTATAAGTACAGTCCATTTACCATTTTCAGCATCTTCTCTGAAGACCTGCCAGTCTGTGCATGCAAAACAGTCTTTCAGTATGGAGTCACTGTTCCTCAGCCATCCCTGGACTTTTCTTTGTATTGTCCTGGAGTGTATCAGCAGGGGTAGGTAAGCAGGGGCCAGAAAGATGGAGATATGATTAGAGAGTCCTAGGTGGGGGCGGGGTATGGCTTTGTCTGCATCTCGTATGTTGGTGTAAACACGGTCCAGCGTGTTATTTCCTGATGATGGTGATGATGAGAATGATGACGGTTGAAGGAAACTCTTCATATGACCCTCTTGTTTCAGGTTTCAGGTCTCGTCACGGTGCAGATGATGAGCAGCCACTGCTGTGCAACTCTGTGGTCTCAAACAGGCAGTGTAGTGTGAGGATGTATATTTATGTTTGTGTTGTTGTTTTCAGCCTCTGGACCTCTGCAGCCCGGACAGAACCCTGCTCATGTCAGAAGAACTGATCCTGCATCAGGCCGATCTGCTGCCAGCCAAGGTAACAAAGCCCTGCTCCGGTCCAAAAACATTCCAAACAATAAATCAAACAAAGAAAAGGTTCGTTTTTTAATGCTGACGTTTCACTGTAAGGAAATACTATTGATGGTTTTCTGCCTGAATTAGGTTTTTGGTTTAAAAACCTGATCTCCCTGAGAGAGTTGATCCAAGATCAGTTTCACATTAATGGATCTGCTGCTGATGCTGCACACACACACATGTACACACACGTGTGCACACACAGAGCAGTTTCTGGGAATCCACAGACTTTCACTTCCACCTTTTCAGTCAAAGTACAGATGGGAAGCTGATCTGGTGTCAGAGTGGTGGAGGGTGATATCGATGGCGCCGGCTGGACGTTGTGTCGCCAGACTTCCTGTAAGCCCCCAACCTGTTCTACTCAGAACAACATTCTCCTCCGTTCATCCGATAATGTGGGGATAAAAGACATGTCCTGATCAAAAATAACACCAGTATTTTTAACATTAGAGCTGGAGGACACATTAAGTGCTGTGTGTTGTCATCACTGTATGTTTCCATTCAGTGGCGAAATTAGTTCTCTACATTGAACCCATCACACCTGAGATACACCCAGGTGGAGCAGTGGGAAGCTATGTAAGCACCTGGGGAGCAATTAGGGATTTGGTGTCTTGCTCAGAGGCTTGTGGGAATGGTTGGGGATCGATCCTGGGTCTTTCAGGTCCCAAGTCGGCTGCCCTACCTCTACACCATCTCTGCCCCTTAATGCCATCCAAGGAGGACGAAAGACTGAAAAACTAATTCCTAAGGTGCTCAGGTCCAAAAACTAAAACCTCAGTCTTGTCTGTTCAAAAGGAGAAAATTAAGGCTCATCCAGGTTTTTATGTCTTTAAGACATGCTTGTAGTCTAAGTAGCTGACTGGATTGACTCTTTAGGAGTGACAAGGATGGATTTTTTCTTTAATTTACCCTTTTTCAACCTTTATTTAGACAGGTTAATCCCACTGAGCCTCAAGGACTCATTTAGAGTCAGTCAGAGTCAGAGTTTCTTTATTGTCATTCGCACCTCATGTGGTACATGTGGTGGAGCGAAATTATGTACACAGGGTCCCAGTTACATCCAACAATAAAATGTATAAGAAAAACAGTAATAACATCTAAGATATGAACTAAGAAAAACATCAACTAAATATACACTAAGCACTCATAACATAAAACATTGAACATCAGCACAAACATGAACATGAGTCTGTGAGCAGATGTGCACGCATGAACACATCAACATTGAAACAGATCAGCAGCAACATGAAACAGATCAGCAGCAACATGATATGGTTTTTCACAGTGATTATTCTAGTTAGAGATTCATGAGTCTAACAGCCTCAGGGTAGAAGCTGTTCCTCAGTCTAGTGGTTCTACACTTAATGCTCCTCAACCTCCTTCCTGAGGGGAGCGGGGCAAAAAGTGTGTGTGCTGGGTGAGTGTGGTCCTTCATGATGCAGGTGGCCCTCTTCCTGCATCTGGAGGTGTAGATGTCTGTGATGGTGGGGAGGCTGACTCCAACATCTTCTGTGCAGCCTTCACCACTCTCTGCAAAGCTTTTCTTTCTGCAGCTGTGCAGCCTCCATGCCACACGTTGATGCTCGAGCACAGGATGCTCTCCACTGCACACCTGTAGAAGGAGGTGAGGACTGAGCTTCCAGACCAGCTCGTCTCAGCCGTCTGAGGAGATTTACTGTCTGAGATGATTTACAAGAGAGACCTGATTTTAGGAGCAGATGGTGGGGGTTAAGGGTCTTGCTCAGGGGCCCAGAGTGGGGCCAGTGAGGGTGGAGGCAGGTGTGGGTGTTTCACCTTTTCCACCAGCATTTTGAAGTTGACAGTACTGGGAGTTGAACCTGCAACTTTTTGATCACAGGCCCATCTTCTCTAACCTCTGTGCCAACACTCCCCAATAAAATAAGGATAAGATCAGGACTGAGAACATCAGAGGTACAGCACAAGTTGAACAAATGGGAGACAAAGTTAGAGAGACCAGACTGAGATGGTTTGGACATGTCCAGAGGAGGGACAGTGGTTTGGACATGTCCAG